GAGTACTCCTCTCAGTGGCAGACAGCCATGGATGCAGAGATGGCATCCTGGAAGTCCACTGGCACCTACCTATGTCGACGCAGTTCCCCCATATGGGGCGAACGTAGTCGACGGCATCTGGATTTTCATGGTGAAGCGGCCGCCGGTTTCTCCGCCTGTCTTCAAGTCTCGTTACGTTGTACGAGTTTTCAGTCAGCGACAGGGAGTTGACTTCTTCCATACCTTCTCCCCTACCCCGAAGATGACCACTCTTCGGGTGCTGCTGCACGTTGTCGCTCAGCATGACTACGAGCTTCACTCTCTTGACTTCAGCACAGCTTTCCTACAGGGCAGCCTCCACGGGGAGATCTGGCTGCGCCATCCACCTGACTTCACTGGGTCGTTTCCTGCAGGTACCAAGTGGAGCCTCCGACGGCCAGTCTACGATCTCCGCCAGGTGCCTCGTGAGTGGTATGATATAGAGGACAACACTTGTGGCTCTTGGGTTTGCTCCTTCGACTGCATACCCGTCGCTGTTTCTACGCACCGACACTTCGCTGCCGCCGTTCTACATCCTCGTGTACGTCGACGACTTGGTTTTTGCCACTGCTGACACTGAGGCACTCTCCCTTGTGAAGTTGGAGCTGCAGAAGAGACACACGTGCATAGACCTGGGTGAGCTACGCAGCTATCTTAGCTTGCAGATCACCCGGGACAGAGCACGATGCACATCACCTTGACTCAGTCACACATGGTACAGCAGGTCCTTCAGCGCTTCGGCCTCACTTGGTCCTCGCCACAGTCCACTCCTCTGGCTACCGGTCACTCGCTCTCAACTCCACCTTCGGACGAGTCTGTAGAGCCGAGTGGCCCGTACCCAGAGCTAGTGGGCTGCCTCATGTACCTGATGATGTTCACTCAATCTGACCTTGCGTACCCTCTTGGCCTTCTGGCACGCTACGTGGCTCTCCGTAGGCACCGAAAGGTGCACTTCGATGCGGCGAAGAGGGTACTGCATTATTTGTGCAGTACATCGGGCATGGGGCTCGTGCTTGGAGGGCGGGGTCCAGTTTTCCCCACTGGACACTCAGACGCTTCGTGGGTTGACGACCTGACTACGCAGCGGTCGTCTCAGGGCTACTCGTTCAGCCTTGGCTCCGGCTCTGTTTCTTGGCGGTTTACCCGCTCGTCATCTGTTCTCAGCTCCAGTTGTGAGGCTGAGATCTACGCATCAGACATGGCTGTACAGGAGTTACGCTGGCTCACCTACCTGCTGACCGACTTGGGAGAGCGGCCTCGTTCTCCTCTAGTTCGGTACGTAGACAACAAGGCTGCAATTGCCTTGTGTCAGGAGCACTGACTAGAGCACAGAACGAAGCACATCGCTCTGCGTTACTTCCTTGCTCAAGAGTTGCAGCAGCGTGGTCAGCTTCGTCTTGCTTGCGTGGCCACTCGGGCCAACACTGCTGATATATTCACCAAGGCACTTCAGTCTTGTGATCATCAGCGCTTCTGTACTGTGTTGGGCCTTGTGCCTGTTTTGCCTCACTTGCTCACTGCTTGACTTTGCTTGTACTGTGACCTACCGTTTGGCCCCGGATATAAGCGCATATGCGCTTATAATAAGTAATGATTTTTTAGGGGTGGCGCTTGTAATTGAGGAACGGCCATAAGCGCCGGCGCTTATAAAATGTCAAATTCCAATTTTGGTTTTCGAAGTATTAAAGTGAAGCCCACAATAAGGCGAACACAACTGTGAACGTTGCGCATGGGATCGTGCATGAAATTCCGGCGAAAACTGCCGCGACTCGATTTCCCACCGCACAGAACCTGTCCTGGAGCAACGCACCTGCCAGCGATGACGTGCATCCTGGCGTGCGGCCCAATAGGGTTTACATGCGCTGCCAGGGTGCCACATTTCACCCGAACTTTCGAGAAGGGGGTGGCATATCCCTGCCAGCGCAGCAGATACGTGCCGCGATTCCCTCCTCTGCGGGTTTAGGCAGGGGGGGATCTGACTATGCCTGAAGAGGAACTCGAGCCGCACACCAGAAGGGGTCCCCTCCAAACCCTCATTTCTTCGCCTTCTCTTTCACTTTTTTTTCATTCAGATTCTTGGTCTCGCCCGCCATGCTGCGGAAGCCATGGCGGAATTCGCTGGCACTCATTTCTTGTTCAAAAAGAAGCCCGCGCGTAGGCCCGCCTTCGTAGTCGACGCCGACGGATGGTACTCCCGTGTCCCACCTGAACCACCAGAGCCACCACAGCCTCCATCGCCTCCTGCGCCGCCTGCTCCTCCTGCTCCTCCTTTGCCGCCTGCGCCTCCTGCTCCTCCTGTTCCTCCGTCTCCTCCGATTCTAGGATGTCCTCAGTACACAGGGGATCCGCCCGTGCTCACGCTCCTGCTCCCGACTGCGTTCGACAAGTGGCTGGAGGAACCGGAAAGCAACAAGGCCCAAGATGTTGAGGTACCCGGCGCACCTTACCCTGGACCACGTTGGGGCCGGCCCGATGATTGCACCACGTGGGACGAATCTGCACTCGGAGCTGACGACGACGTGGCTGAGGACGAGGAAGCGAGCCGTGCTGACGGCGACGAGGCTGAGGAAGGTGGCGCGCAGGGCGGCACCGCAGAGGATGTGTTTCCTGAGGGCGTACCTGGTGGCGACGACGACGACGGTGTCGAGTACTGGTCACGTGACGGGCTCCCCGAGGAACTGCCGATACCTTCCTTTCCACCAGCTAACCGCAAGCGACCCCACCCGTCTACCCATAACCGTGATGCCCGCCCCCCCTCTCCTAGGCACAAGATCAGCGATCACAAGCGCAAAGGCTACACCGCTGCGGAGAAGTTGAAGTATGTCGCGATGCTGGATGTGGCGAAGTCGGTGCGCGCACTAGCTCGGGAGTGTGGGATTCACCGGAAGTGTCTCGCCAACTGGAAGGTGGCAGCGGGGTTTCTCAAAGAAGCACACTCCGGGCGGAAGCGCATGCACGGTCGCGGGCGGGCCTCGTGGTACCGCCCCATGGAGTTGAAGGTGTACGAGCGGCTCCTGGACTGGCGCCGCAAAGGAACCGCCGTGTCGGTCGGCCATCTGCGGGAGTGGTCGAGGGAGTTCATGAAGATCCTCTACCCGGACGTCAAGTGGAGCGGGAGTCAGAGATGGTTGGAGCGGTTTCGGAAGCGGTGGAATCTGAGCGTCCGATGAAGACGCGGGTTGCTCAGAAAACAGCCGCTCGTAAGATTAAGCCCCTTGCTTTTATGTCTAAGTTTCAGGTTCACTTACTAAACTGCCGTCTATCCCGCCCGCTTTCCCCCGTCTCACAGATCTTGCGGAGCAGTGCCAGAAATTCTGGCGTTTTGTCCGACACATGCGTCGCGCGCGCGGCATCGAGCCATGCTGGATCCTCAACGCTGACCAGACGCCGCTCTGGCTGGAGATGCCCGCCACCACGACCGTGGATCAGACGGGCGTACGGTCGGTGCCCATCCGGAGTGCAGGTTACCAGAAGGAGCGTGTGACCGTGATGCTGGCGTGCACGGCGGACGGGGCGAAGCTCAAGCCGTGGGTATTTTTCAAGCGGAAGACGCTGCCGAAGGGCAACTTTCCTCCTGGTAATAAGTAGCAACTGCCGCTGTCTTACCGTATCGTTTCTCATGCCGCGCTAACAGTTTAAGTGCCATTTCTGTGTGCAGATGTGGTCGTGGCTTGCCACGATAACGGGTGGATGAACGCAGAAGGCGTCATCCGCTGGCTTGACGAGTGTGTCAAGCCCTTCTTGAAGCCCCGATTTGGCAGGTGTGCGAAGAGCTCTATGCTCGTGCTGGATTCCTACCGCGGCCACCTTACCGAGGGGGTGAAGGAGAAGCTCCGCGAGATCAACTGCGTGCCTGCTGTCATCCCGTCGGGTTGTACGGGTGAGGTTCAGCCACTCGACGTCTCCATCAACAAGAGCTTCAAAGCATCTGTTCGTCAGCAGTACCAGAAGTGGTTTCAGGAGGAGGGCCAAGAGCAACTGACAGCTGCAGGTACGTTGTTTCCGTTAAACACGCATGTTTATCCCCCTTTCACCCTTGGTCACTGACACGGCTTTCCCGGGTGTCTCTGTTGCGGTGCAGGGAATCTGAAGAAGCCCCCCCCAGAAGTGGTCCTTCGATGGATTTCACAAGCCTGGAAAGCAGTACCCTCCGACCTCGTCAAGCGCGCCTTCCTCACCTGCGGCATTAGCAACGCGCTTGACGGCAGTGAGGACCACCTCGCCATGGCGCACAGGCGGAGCCAGCTAACGGCGGAAGTGGATGTAGACGACGACATCATCGCCGACGGATTCTTTGGCAACAACTGCCAGGAGCCCGAGTCTGACGAGGAGTAGTTCCGGTACTAGCACCTAGGTAGAATAGCGGATTAAGTCTAAAATTGTGTATTGACTTGTAGTATACGTTGAAGCGAACGATGTTATACTTGTTTTGCTTTTGTTGTGGTGGTAAAAAAAAGTGTTAATATTGAGGTTGGCGCTTATAATAAGGAAGGGTACAAAAGGGGTGGCGCTTATAATCGAGGATCGGCCATAAGCGCCATGCTCCAGATAGAAGCGCCGGCGCCTGTAATAGGCCGGCGCCTATATCCGGGGCCATATGGTATATATATACCTGCATGCTTACTCTTGCTAGGTAGTGATCATTGTACTGTTTGCCGTCTTTTATATAACTCTGAATGTGGACCGGCCTTGTGGCCACTTGCTTGTGCTCAGACTGTGTGGTGACTTCGGGATCCACCCTGTGCTTGCTTTGCTTTTCTTGACTGGTCTTGTGTCCCCTTGTTCTCCCCCACTTTGCCTATGGGGGTGTGTCAAGCTATAATGCTGCTTATGTTGTGTAGGCTGTAGTTGGGTAGCCTATATGGAGTACAACCCAATCAGGGTTAGCACTTGTACTCAGTTTGATGTCAATGCAATCATTCCTGCTCCTTAGTTTCTGACAAGAGAGATGGTGAGGGAGGGCTGGGAGAGTGCAATGGGGCTTAACATTGAGGTCTAGCAGAGAGGCAAGTGCAATACAGAGTGGCTGGGAGAGAGGCGAGAGAAACAGAGAGGGATGGGAGAGAGGCAAGAGAAACAGAGAGGGATGGGAGAGAGGCATGAAAAACAGAGAGGGCTTGGAGAAATTGGCAGGAGCAAGTTAAGGATTGGGAGAAAGTGATAAGATCAACAAGGAAGAATGGAAGTTGACTGTGTGTTCACCTCATTACAAAACTGAACGATCAGTGTATAAACCAGGAGTTCTCATGAAGTCAGCTCTTTTAGGAGTACAAGGGCAGGAGAGGGAGAAGTGGGTGAAGAATTTGGAGATGTTGGTCCGTGGCAGAAGACATATAAAATGTACACCAAATTTCCTTTATTAAGAGTTGCCAGTTCTTATAGACATACATTTTTTCGCATGAACCCTTGTAAAACGCACTTAATAATAATGTTCTTATTGTCATCAGCTGGCAAGCAAAGCACGTGCAAAGTATTTTAATCTCAAAAAAACATTTCAGTGCAGATCCTCCAGCTACCTAAAGGCCAGAATTTGATAAGACATTTGCTTCTGCAGCAGCACCACTGGCACCAGCAGTACCCAGAGCAGCAAAACTGGCACCAGCAGAATTAGTGGCACCAGAAGCAGCACCTCCAGTGCCACCAACATCAGCAGTGCCACCGACATCAGCAGTGCCACTGGCAGCACCAAGACCAACAGGGCCAGCACCAGCAGAACTGACAGTACCTGCAGAACCACTAGCAGCAGTACCAGGATTAGATGCACTAGCACCAGCAGAACCGACACCAGCAGCAGCACCTGCAACACCACCAGCAGTACCAGCAGATTCACTGGCACCAGCACCATCAGTAGCACCAGCAGCTGCACCACCACCGACAGCACCACTACCCACAGTACCAGAACGAAATGCACTGGCACCAGCAGCTTCAGTGGCACCAGCAACAGCACTACCACCAGCAGCAGCACCAGCAATGGCAGCACCAGCAGCAGCAACAGTAGTTTTCGAAGCATCATTGGCACCAGCACCATAATCTGCACCAATACCAGCAGCACTAGTCCCCCCGATCCCAGCACCAGAAGCACTAGCACCAACAGCACTCTTGGAACCTTCACCGCCAGTAGTGCCACCGGCAGCAGCACTGGCACCAGCACCAGCAGTGCCAGCACCAGAAGCACTAGCACCAGCAGCAGCAGAAAACCCAGCAGCAGCAGCAGGAGCAAATTGTTGCTGGCCCAACGGCTTCTGCCTGAACAAATAGTTCATGGGATGCTTGCTGTTCGAAGCATCACCAGCCAATGGGCTGGAGGAGCCATATGTGGTGGGGACGCCATTGCCATAGGACGATTTACTGCTGGATGCCTTGCTGCCCGACGACTTGCCGCCCAACGACTTGCCGCCCAACGACTTGCTATGTTTCGACTTGTGGTGATGGTCATGATCATCGTCATCATCGTCATCATCGTCATCATCATCATCATCGTCATCATCATCATCATCGTCATCGTCATCATCGTCATCGTCATCATCATCATCATGACCACCACCACCACCGCCGCCACCGGATGGAGGCGGGTTGTCGTAGTCTGAGTCATCGTTGTAGTCAGGCCCGCCTCCCCAGAGGTACCGGGGTTTCCTGAAGCACGAGAAGTCCACCGCAAGGCCACCCCTGGTTGGGAAAGAGAGGGAGAGATAAAGGGCTTGGTCGCATGCATCATCATCCTCATAGTCCAGCCCACCACCCCGGAGGTACCGGGACTTCCTGAAGCATGGAAAGTCCTCCTCAAGGCCGCCCCTGGTAGGAGGAGAGGGTGGGAGGGGTACAGGAGAAGAGGGGTCTTGGCTTGGTCGCATGCATTGCCATCCTCGTAGTCCAACCCACCACCCCGGAGGTACCGGGGCTTCTTGTAGCACGAGAAGTCAACTGCAAGGCCGCCCCTGATTGGAAGATAGGAGTGTAAGGTTTGGGAGGAGTGGGGGCGGATTGGGGATGTGCTCTGGTGGGGCCATGGGTCAGTGGATTACGGTTCAGAGGGAGGAAGGCCTTCTTGAAAGCCAGTAAGTTCCACAGCAAGACTGCCCGTATTAAGGCAAGAGAGTGTAAGGTTGGACGAGAGTGCATGAGAGGGTGGAAGGTTGGACGAGAGTGCATGAGAGGGTGGAAGGTTGGACGAGAGTGCATGAGAGGGTGGAAGGGTGGGAGGAAACATGTGGCAGATGTGAGGGTAGATAGAGCAGAATGTTCTAAGTGGTATTGGGCCAATAAGGTGGCTTTTTTGTTACAAGGTAACAAAGTGCCTCGTGGTAACAAGATAACAAGCTGCTTCTCAGACACAGGGTAAAGCTCCTAGTTACAAGGTAACAAAGTTGTCTATTGGTGGAAGGGTAACAAGAACGTACTGGTGGTTGCCGTGAAAGGCGAGGGTTTTGGTGGCGGTGCTGCTGATGGCCCAGATGAGGTAGTTGGTGGCGTTGAGCTTTATGGGTACCATCCCCGTGCCCACCTTCCTGGCAAAACTGAGAGAGGGTGTGAGGGAGTTTGAGCAAGTGTAAGAGAGTGTGAGGGAGTGTAAGGGAATGTATGAGAGTGCAAGGGAGTGTCGTGAAGTGTGATGGGAAAGCCATGAGGGAACGAGGAGAAGGAAGGCGAAGCAAAAGACGCTGGTGAGGAAAAACAGCAACTTAGATGAACTTAGCAGCACGTAATGCTATCAAAACATTGGCGAAACAAAGGACAACGCAGTAGGGTAACGCATGGGGAAGTAGGGAAAAACAGCGGAAGTAGAGTAACATGTGGGGAAACAGGCCAAGTTTTCCATCACCCTTACATGATTGTTGTGCCGCCTTCAGATGTAGAAGAAACTGTAGGAGTCCCGATAGCAAATGAGCTCGTTTTCTTTACAAGCTTCTTACTATACCCACTCATGCGCACCGCAGCCACACCCGGCAGGTTCCCTATGACAGCATCTGAGCCCTTCATCTTGCCCTTTTTGCCCGACCATCCAACGGCCATCCAGCCATTTTTGGTTAGAGTGCCCTTGCGAGCCTCAAGGGCGAATCTGATGCGCGTCTTGGTGGCAAAGGTCCAGTGAAGGAGGACGCTGAGAGGGGGGACGGAAGGTGAGGGCATGGGGATGATGAGAAACATTATAGAGACAGGTTGACGCAAGAGTGCTGCTCCTGCTGCTGCTGCTGCTGCTGCTGATCTCCATGGGCATTCGATGGGCTCATTTGCTGGCGAGTGGTTATTGGAGGAAGATTCTACTGGTGAGATGTCAGTTGATGCTCTAATGGGTGTGCTCGTGGTGAATATTCAGTCAGAGTTTGATGAGAGTACAATGAGAGCCCAGAGAAAATTCGGTGAGAGCTCAATGAGAGTTCCGTGACAGTTCATTGAACGTCCAAAGGGAGTCCAAGAGGAGGTTATTGAGAGTTCAGTGAGGGTTGAACGTCCGGTGAGCGTTAGGGGAGTGTATTGAGTGTCTAAACAAGATTTTTCTGATAGGGCAGGGCTGAAGGTGTATGGAAGAAGAAGCTCAGTGGTGGCTGCGCAAAAACGATTCTGTTGGCAGGTGCTCTAGAGAGATAGAGAATCAAAAGGAGAAAGGAAATAAAGAAAAGAAAAGGAAACGGGAACACCATGGTGCACTAAAGGGAAACCATAGAGATCATCACCCACCACACCACCATTCGTTACTATCACATCAGCTATCCTCAACAACAATATCACTCACCGCCACATTCACTACTAACATCAGCGTGGCGTCAGCGGAAGCAATCACAGGCATTACCATCACTTACAGCGGTCCATTCAGCTCCACTTGATATGAGTACCCGGCTAGCGACGACGACGCGCATGCCGCACCTCCAGGTGGAACCGACGAGGGGGGAGGAGGGGACGGCTTGGGTTTAGTAGATGGTGGGGGAGGAGGGGAGGCTCGACCCGCAGGTGGTGGAGGGGAGCGCTTGGTGCTTGGAGGGGGCGGGGATTTGGCGCTGGAAGGGGGTGGTGGCGAGGGGTTGGAGACAGCGGTGGCGTCACAGGAGTAGTCGATTGTGACGGTGCCTCGGTGGGCAGCATGGCCGTTGTCAAACAAGCCTGAAGGTCCGTCGGAGTAGGCCCAGATGGTCTTCATGGGTCCGTTCACGAACTTGATCTTGTTGCCCGTGCCCACCTCGCGGGAGAATCTGCAGGGAGGTTGTGGGGGATGGGGGAGGTGGGGAGACGGGAGAGCGCGAGGGAGAAGGGTCGGGATGAGGGAGGGAGAGAGAATTGGGCCGTCAGACCCAGATGGTCTTCATGCGGCGTTGATGACGTTGATTTAGTCGTCCATGCTTGGGGTGCGGTAGAAGCTGTGATTTGAGTGGAAGGGGGGAAAGAAGGGGAGAGGGGGAGGGGGGGGGGGGGGGGGGGGGAGGAGGGTGAGAGTAGGATAGGTGTTCAAGAAGGTAATCCTGGTGCCCGTGTCACCGTGTGGGAACACTTGCGGGTTTGAGGGAGTGTAAGCGTGGAGTGTGAGGGTAAGGGGGTGTGGACGCAAGGGAGTGTGGAGTACAGTGCGGCGTGGGTATGAGGTTATGAAGTGAACAAAAAAATATGCATCTGGCATCGATATGAATACATCCGGATCAAACAGGGGTGACGGTGTGTGGATGAGAGGAAGCACACTACCAGCTATAGGCGGTAGAGGGTGCGAATGCTAGTCACAGTGAGGTGGGAGATAAGAAGTGGCTAAGCATGATACATGAAGTATGGAAGGGGGAAACAATAACAGAGGGCATGTGCGATACCACAAGAAATTGTTGACGCGTTGAGTTCAACATGGGAAAAACGTTGTCATAAAAACACAGCAGCCTGGAAACACAAACGTACGTGGCAACGCCGCCAGTGTAGGTAGGCGAACCCAGCGGGACGGAAGCAAACGGGATGATGGCGGTCGGCGTGTCGCCCGCTAGAGTGTAGGCGTCAATGGGCTCGTAGGTTGCGCTGTTAGCGATAACGGCATCTGCGGGATACATCCCGCCTGTCGTTGGCCAGCCGACGCCGAACCACCCGCCAGAGACGGATGTTGATGTGGCTTCCAGGGCCATGTTCACTGTGGTTCCTGCTGTGGTGGCTTTTGTGGCCTTCCAGTGAAGAATCAGCCTGCCGTGTTGGGGAGAATAGGGGAGGGCGGAAAGGAGGGAAAGAGAAAAGGGTTGGCTACTGAGCGAAGGCGTGAGTTACTACCAGTGAAGAATCGGCGTGCTGTTGTTGGGTGGAATGGGTAGGGGCGGGAAGGGAGGGAAGGAAAGAAGGGATGGGGACTCAGCTAAGATGTGAGTTACTACTACCATGCCTGTTTGTGGCCTTTCAGCAAAAAATCGTCCTGTTGTGTCAGGGAGAAGGAAAGCATTTGCAGAAGTGCAATGTACATCTGTGAGCAGCAATTGTGTCCAGAACTTCCTGCCAGGAAAGTTACTACTTAATGTTTGTGTATGAAATATTAATGAACTTTCTCCAGATGTGTCCTGGAGCTCGATCGATAACTGTATACTGCTAAAGTCGCGGTTAGTACATTTCTTGGGTTGTGGCCTGCCAGGTCTTTTTCAAAATGCCACTCTAGTAGTGCGGGGATTGCCAGAAGTTGGCGTCGTGTTTAAATTGCATTTTTCACCCCCTGTCACGCCATTAAATTCCTCCAGCGATTTTTCTTTGACTCATCAATTTTTTTCTTTCATTCTTTTCTTTTTTTACCCGGGCGCGAGCGTTTTGGATGACGTAAAGCCACTTCGGCTCGAGGTGCTGCACGCTGCAGCTCCCCCGCGCCGCTTCGTCCCGGGAATTACGGCCGGTCGCAGGCTTTGCGCGCCATTAAAGAAAAAACTTCCGAAGGAGCTAGGAAGGCGAAAGAACGAGGCAATGGAGTGACTCGGAGGTGGCGGCGGCGGAGCAGGTGCGGCGGCAAAGGCGGTGGTAGGGGCGGCGTAGTGTGTGACTGTTATGAGCAGCGCGAGCTGAAGAGCGAGGAGCTGACAACGAGCCATGGAAAGCGCCGAAGTCGGATGAGCAAGCAGCACAAACAAACTCACTGCCGCAGTCACGACTCGGCACTGGAACCCGGGGTGCTAATTTGGAATGAATTGCTGACTGAAATTGCTGCTCCTCTCTGCCCCTTATGACATTGAGCCAGATTGAACCAGTGCCTGGGTGAAACTGCGCTCCGCATTCCTCCTTCGGGCACTGTGCATTGAGATTGCGTAACACATTTACCCGGCTTTACAGTGTGCTACCCGGCATTTTGAACGCGCAACTCGGCACTTACTGTAACAGTGTTGACTTTACCAACTTTTCATCGATTTCTGGTCTGGTGTCGATTTCAGTGAATTCCGGGCACTGGTCAAACCACTCTGGTTGCAGTATTCGTGTTGGTTCAGAGCCCTGTGGTCAGCGATGCGTTCCGAGTTGGAGTTTCATTTAGTCTGTTGCAAGACCCAGTTGCCCCTCCATCCACACCCCCCCCCCCCCCAGCTTCCCCCTCCCGTTTCCTCCAAACACACACCTCCCCTCCGCCAACTTTTGCCCCTCTTCTTTATCGCACTCCGACTCCCCACCACTACCCCTCCTTCAACTAACATTCTCAAGTCTTACACTTTGTTTTCAAGACTCAATGCTCCCATAATGCCAGCTGGAGAAAAATCTCACGAGCTCGCTGGACAACAAGCGTTTCGGAAAAACGGAAGCGGCATCGAGCGCATAAAAAATGGAGTACTCTTACTGGCATTGAGCAACACGATACACCTAGTCCGCGGTATTTTAACCGCCGCTATCTTAACCGCGCGGGGGTACAGCTCCATGGTCAATATTGAATACAAGGGTAGTTTAAAACATTTAAAAGAGTATAGTTAAGCGTACCCTTCGCGAGATCACGGAAGTTGCAACCCTGTTAATGCCAACGGCATCCTAAGTGTGGGTTTTGTCAAACGGAAAACTTCCCGGCTGTATTCTAATAGCCCTGAAGTCTCTGGGTGCTCATTCCATGAACTAAAATGCACTCAGGATGTTTGAAACAAAAAAAAAATCGGGTGGTTAAAACACCGTGGACTAGGTGTAAGTTGCAATGGTTGGAACCAGCCTGGTAGGCCGAGGTCGCGGAGTCGCGCGAAGGTTGGGTGCAAGATTGGGATTGGAAACCCCGAAGGCGACGCAAATGACGTTCGGAAGGCGAGGTCGGCGGACCGAGCATGAACCCCGAAAAGTTGGAATTGTACGCGTACGGAGTGCCTCGGTAAGGAATTAGAAAAAATTCCTTACACTACTCCCTCCCCCCCCCCCCCTTCAAGAAAGGTGGTCAATGTGAGAATGAGAACGAGAATGAATCAACTATGAATGAGGTGAGTACAAATAGGAAACCCTAAATGGGTTGTACCCCCTATGGGATACCCCACTATAGCCTACACAACAGCATAAGCTATAATGTTCAGACACACCCCCATTGGCAAAGTGGGGGAGAACAAGGGGTCACAAGACCAGTCAAGGAAAGCAAAGCAAAGCAAGCTCAGGGTGGATCACAAAGTCACCACACAGTCTGAGCACAAGGTCAAGGCCACAAGGCCAGTTCACAAGCAAGAGTACACACATATATATAAAGCAAGACAAGCAAGAGCAGGTATACATATATGTGAGAGTACAAGCAAGGTCAAGAGGAGAGCAAGTGAGGCAAGACGGGCACAAGACCCAGCTGAGTGCAGAAGCGCTAATGATCACAAGGCGCAAGTGCCTTGGTGAAGACATCAGCAGTGTTGGCCTCAGAGGCAACGTACGCAAGCCGCAACTGTCCACACTGCTGTAGCTCACGAGCAAGGAAGTAGCGGAGAGCAATGTGCTTCGTTCTGTGCTCCAAGCGCTGCTCTCGACACAAGGCCAGCATGGCCTTGTTGTCTACGTACAGGACTGGAGGAGAACGAGGCGGCTCTCCAAGGTCGGTCAGCAGGTAGGTGAGCCAGCGAAGCTCCTGTGCAGCCATGGCCCCGGCGTAGATCTCAGCCTCACAACTGGAGCCGAGAACAGAAGACGAGCGAGTAGCCCGCCACGAAACAGAGCCGGAACCAGGGCTGAAGGTGTAACCCTGTGACGACCGCTGCGTAGCCTGGTCGTCAGCCCAAGAAGCGTCCGCGTGCCCAGTAAGGACCACTGGACTCCGCCCTCCAAGCACTAGCCCCATGCCCGACGTACTGCACAAGTAGCGCAACACCCTCTTCGCTGCAGCCATGTGCTCTGGTCGGTGTCTCCCAGGAGCAACATAGCGTGCAAGAATGCTAAGAGGGTATGCAAGGTCAGGTCGTGTGCAGGTCATCAGGTACATGAGGCAGCCAACAAGCTCTGGGTACGGGCCACTCAACTCTACGGACTCATCCGAAGGCAGAGCTGAGAGCGAGTGGCGAGTAGGCAGAGGAGTGGCCTGAGGCGAGGAGTACGTGAAGCCGAAGCGCTGAAGGACCTGCTGCACCATGTCTGACTGAGTCAGGGTAATGGTGCGGTGTGCTCTGTCCCGGGTGATCTGCAAGCCAAGGTAGCTGCGCAGTTCACCCAGGTTTGTGCACGTGTGTCTCTTCTGCAGCTCGGACTTCACGTAGGCGAGTCCAGCAGTGTCAGCTGTGGCGAAGACCAAGTCGTCGACGTACACGAGGATGTAGAACGGCGGCAGAGAGGTGTCGGTGCGCAGAAACAGCGACGGGTTAGCAGTCGAAGGAGCAAACCCAAGAGCCGCAAGCGTAGTCCTCAGTGTGTCGTGCCACTCACTTGGCGCCTGGTGGAGACCGTAGACTGGACGCCGGAGACTCCACTGGGTACCAGGAGGGAAAGACCCAGTGAAGCTAGGTGGGCGACGCAGCCAGATCTCCTCGTGCAGGCTGCCCTGCAAGAAAGCTGTGCTGAAGTCGAGAGAGTGCAGCTCGTAGTCACGGTGAGCAGCAACGTGCAGCAGTACCCGAAGAGTGGTCATCTTCGGGGTGGGGGAGAAGGTCTGAAAGTAGTCAACTCCCTGCCGCTGTCTGAAGCCACGAGCCACGTAACGCGCCTTGAAGACAGGCGGAGAACCCGGCGGCCGCTTCACCCTGAAGATCCACATGCCACTGACGATGTTCGCCCCAGGAGGGGGGACAGCGTCAACGTAGGTGCCTGTGGACTTCCAGGAAGCCATCTCTGCATCCATAGCTGCCTGCCACTGAGAGGAGTAGGGACCCTCTACGGCCTCCGCGTAAGAGCGCGGAGTCGGGATGTCAAGTGCATCCGGGTCTCCCTCAGGGGTAAGCAGTACGGACACGAGATGAGGTGAAGCAACTGCCAGACACTGGAACTCCTCCTGCCTGTCCTCAAAGACGTCCGTGCCAAGGGCACACTCACCCCCGACGGACGGAGGACAGACAGACGCAGACTCAGCGACAAGACTCGCAGCGTAGTCTAAGCGGCAGCGAGCAGCAAAGTCGACGAGCTCAGCAACTAGAGCAGACGCAGCAGTAGACTCAAAAGAAGGGTCAGTGACGACAGTAGCAAGGAGACGCGTGACAGTAGGATTGGCAGCACGAAGAGAGTCCGACTCCGGGTCGGGAAGAGTAGGAAGAGAGGACTCAGGAGGAGAAGGCAAAGGGGCACGCAGAGGAGCAGTGGACGGACGCAGAGACATCCGGTGCATGCCAGGGACAGGAGGAGGACGCTCACGCGAACTACGACCACTAGCGCGAGCAGGACGGACAGGCGACGTAGGGCGAGACGCAGGCTCACGACGCTCAGCAAGACCTCCAGTAGGACCAGTGTAGGGAGAAGGAGCAGGCAAAGGGGAGGTAGGCTGCAGCTGTAACTGTAGCTGGACAGGCTGCGGACACTCTAAGGGAGGAGGAGGACCAGTAGAAGGTGGAAGACCAAGAACCTGCTGCAGGAGTGGAACAAAGTACGGTCGAGGCCGTGTGGCGACGCCAGAAGCAGCAGGGACACAATCAGTACCCTCAGTAGGAGCACCCGCTCCAGCAGCACCTCCAGCACCTCCAGAACCTCCAGTAGCACCAGGAGCACCTCCAGCAGGACCGCCAGCGGCAGTCTCAGCGCCAACACC